ATACCATATAATAAAACTGACCACCAGGTTAAACTTACCATTACTTTCCTACTATTCTTTAATGAGACATCACGGACAATTTTCATGAGAATGGTTCCCAAGACCTGAAAAGCACAATGAAATTTCATCCACACCAAGAATTACTGCTGAAGACAATTTTGGTTTGCAATCACTCATCAAATATTTGTTCATGAATACAATAAAACACTCCATGACTTGTGATCTGATAACCTTGAATATATATAAACAGTCGCCTCCATTTGGTGTGAAAATATTCTTCTGACCACATGTTTGTTGGCTGATTATGTTTACGTTTGAGAGATTGTCCAAAAAAAGAATATTTGGCAAGGAAGTGAAGCTTTCAGGGCAAATGTGAATACTGGTTATTTCTGTATACTGATTACTGTGTCTACTAATTATTTCATTGATTATAAAAATATATCTTCAGGTACACTGTATAAACATGTACCTTGAGGTTAGACTGTGCCAGACCACTGGGTGTATTATCCATTAGTCCATACTCAGTAGGCTTGAACAGCAGTGTAGATACCAGTCCTCTTGAGATAAACAAGCCCAGCAGTAACATGGTGATCACTTCATTGGTCACTTTAGTTAAAGCACCTTGGTCAGTGAACATCATGCTATCCTATAAATCAGCATTAAAGATAACAGGCTCAGAATAAGATGTAATTGTGTTTTTATTGAAAAACTGAACCTGATTTAACCCTTTAACCCAAGATATTCACCATTAAATAAAAAATTTGTCACTGGTACTGACAACTTTTACTGGACGATGATTACCTTTAACCCTTTACACCCTTACGTAACATGCATAATCTCCAAACCGTTCTCTATACATTGCCTAAGGTACAAGCAAGGGGAATTTTTTGAACAATCAAGAGTTTCTCTGGTTGGTGATCATTTCCTTTATTCTCATGACCTTACTGTGTGATTCAGGAGTGATATTGTATGGAGAAATTACATGCTAGACTCACTCATAGGGGTCAGAGGGTTAACAAAGTGACTCAAGGATTGTTACTCCTGTCTAGTAATCAGTTAAATGGACAAAAACTTTGACTGATTATAACCATTACAATTTCATCAAATGTGATTATTGGTGCATTGGCTGCTTTATTTTTCACTAATTATAAGTGTAGTGTTGTAATCAAACAGTTTTAGTTGAAAACCTGTAATTGGACAGTTAAAGCAGCCAATCATATTAAGTCCACTCAGCCAAATCCACCAACCACAGAATTAATCATAGTAACCATAAAAACTGGGGAATTTAAAAAAAATGGAGGAATTCTTTACTGAAGACATTGTCTCCACGAGAAATATTTTCCCTAATTGTATTTTTTATGGAATTGTAATGGTTATGATTGATTGGTAACAGGACTTTGTGTCATCCAATTCATTTGATCCAATTTTCTTAAACACTTGTAAGATTACAGACCAAATTGGACTCCACTTGGTTTATTACCATTATTAATTTTGCTCCTCACCTAAATAATACTAACCCCTCCCCTTGTAATTCTTATAAATTCATATGACTTAAACTTGCTATGTCTATACAAGACACTGGCACCCAGGCTGGGGGGAGGTAGGTCAGAAATACAAACTGAACAATAAAGGAAATATTTACATGTAGCCTTCAACCTCTGTCTCAATTGCCTTTGTGAATTAAACTTCACTAAAGGGTCCTCTTTCAAATACCTTTTCAACTTGCCACAGGTAGTTTGGTGGTAGAAAGACACCTTCCTGAGTCATAAGCCACAAGACACCCTCTCTTGAAGCACTTAAAATTCCAGTATCAGGTTTAATCTGAATAACATTATGAATAATGGTCTCAACCATGGATGAGAGTTCTTTAAAGGCACTTTGAGAATCCTTTGAAAGTCTCTGAAAAACACCTGGATTTTTTATGTAAAAATCAAAGGCTTCATCTGTAATAGCATCTTGAATGGTAGAGTACATGGACCAGTCATGGCTGAGGTAGTATTCTCTATGAAGTTCATCAATTGCTTGTTTTATAAGACTGTTGAGGTTTTCAGTGGCACTCAGCTGCCTTTGATGAGCTTGTTTTAAGAGTGCTATAAGAATAAAACATGCCCAGGCGACATAACCAACATGACGTAATTTTCTGACCCTGCTAGATCCAGGAAATGGATATGGTTGTTCTTCATTCCAGTGAACTTGGTTACTAAGAAATCCTTCTGGTCTTAGAGATAACCGAGGTTTCATTGGTGTTTCTGGAAGTCTTTCTGTTGGTCTTACAGGAGTTGCAACACCTCTTGGTACCTGAACACAAATGACAGTGACAAAATACAAAATTTGTGACTCATCATGATAATTCATCATAAACACAGTATAATTAACTCCAGGCTACTGACTCTATCTAGCTTTTTCCATCTCAAATGAGGCATTTATTTAAGGGAAGCAATTATGAGAGGGTGGCACTCATTTGAGTAATTACTGTAAGTATAAATCAGCCACACACTGATCTGAAAGGAAACAAATACATGTATCTGTTATAGACAGTAGCTTAACAAGATAGAAAATAATTGCATTTGATATATACAGGTACAATGAAACATTTAAAAACTTACCACTGCTTTTGATGAAGGATTTCTTTGAGC